TCAGACTTTGCAGTTTGCGGATACTGAGTTTTCAGAGCGCAGCGCGTACGGACCCTAAGAGACCCAAAAAATTGTCCAAGTCCCCAACAGCCAGAGTCAAGTCCTTTCACACACCCCGCCCCGCAACCTATAAAATCGGCCAAGTCCTAGCAGCCACAGATAGTTCCCCCTAGCACAACCACCAGCCCATATAAACGTTGAAGTCCTGTTCTAGAGACACCCCTCTCACAACCCCAACACCCATAAAAATCGGCTAAGTCTTCTATTTCTAGCTACATTCTTCCCACACCCCTTTCCCCTGAGAATTTTTGTCAAGTCCTCTGAGCGGTGACACAAGTCCCTCAACAACCAGTCACACACTTGCAAGGACCCATCGCAGACAAAGGGTGAATTCCGCAGTGAGTGTCAGACCCGAGGTCGACCCGTGGCCGAAGGAGCTGCGGGTTCTCACAACCAAACTGCGGGTTTCATTTTCTTGACGGTGCAGCGGCTGCATAGTCGTGAACTGTCGCAAGGGGAGGGTTGCGACTATACTTGCCAAACTTTTCGAGTCCACCAGAAATTTTCGAAGTTATGATCGGTGGAAGTTCATTTGGATGAATTTGTTAGTTGTTCGGTTTGACAGCTGACTGGCTGGAGCTGTCAGTTTTTCGCAAGACCCGAGGCAATTTTTTTCCAGCCTCGGATCTTCCTGCTAAACCCTCGGGTCTAACACTCGCTGCGGAATTTACCCAAACTCCCTGCTGTTGTACACGCATTGACCTTCGACGTGCTTTGCCGTACACCGTCAGTCTTGCTTGCGACTCGTCCCGACAAGCTAGGCCTTGCAAGCACCTCGTAGTACAGGCGTTAATACCCCTCGCATTGAGAAAGTTTCTTCAATAGAATGAACTATTCCCCGCTAAGTTTCGTACTATCGTCATCACACTTGCACACTCGGGTAAAATAGGTGTTGGGTCCCACCCCACCTAGAGCCGCGTGAGACTTTGAAGGAGGTCGCGAGGGTACATGCTCTGTCAATCTAGTCGCTTATGTGAAATCCTGTCTTATGACCCCAATTTTTTGCCAGCTAGGAAACAACGAGCTCTCTACCAAGTAGTGTGTGAACTCTGAAAATATAAGATTTTGACTTGGGCGAAGGACTCTGAGTCGACATTCTGAACCCTGAGTATTTCAGACTCATTGACTCTTGGATACTGAGATGTCAGAGTAGCGAAATTTTGAAAAATGGCCCTTCTGACTCGGGAAAATATTTGGGGGGCAAAATCAGAGTGCCTTTTTTTGAAACGTCAGCCCTGGTCCAAGGAGATTCGCCACTTCGCCCCCATGCTTGCACGGCTGAACACTGTGGACCGCAAGTTCTATGCTGGCCTCACAGCTGTGCTCAAGACCAGCGACTGGAGGATCCACTACCCCAATCTTGTGGGTTGTGGGTGGCGGTGGCGGTGCTGCCCCTGAGCACCGTCGAGTGTGAGCGTGGCTTCTCCCACCAGAATCTAATCAAGAGCTGGCAGCACGGCAGCCTCAACGATGCATGGCTTAGCGATCTTATGATGATGTCTATGCTAGACTACACCCTGGAATACCCCGCAGTAGTAGCGATCTGGGGGCCTACAAGAAAAGAAGGCCATGTATTCCACCATTCGGCACTGCCTGCAGAGCAAGAAGGGCAAGGAGAAGGAGGAGGAAGACAGTAGTGGCCCCATGGATGAGGGGGGGAAGTAGAGGCTGATGTAGATGCCGAGGATGAAATGTAATGACTATCATTAATGAATGTGGCCTCGTGGCCTTTCATCGTTTTTTTTTTTTTTTTTTTAACAAGGCTGAAATTTCAGGCAAAATTTTAGAGACGAGGCTGACACATTCAGCCTTTTTTAACCGGGGGAGGCTGAGAAACCAAGTATGGGGGGGCAAGGATGTTAAATCAGCGTGCCTAAAAACCAATCTTGGGGCCTGCTCCCTAGGATACCATATACGGGGGAATTGTGAAAGCTTGCTTAGGTCCTCTTGTAAAGGCAGCATGCTTCATTTCATCTGGGAAACATACATGGTTCTCGTCCAACAAAGAACTACACACAAGAGGGTGGGTGGGCGGGGAAATTGAACTAGAGAAACTAGAAATGAAGAACATGGGTGAGGCCGAATGGCCTTACGTCCCTCTTTTGTAGGCAAAAGAGGGTGAGTAGTGCTTCGACGCTGCCTTTGCTGCGTTGGCCCTCGCTACACTCTCACAATACACATTTTTAGAAAGTGTTACACACTTTCAAAAAATTACATATTGTGAAAGCTTGCTTAGGTCCTCTTGTAAAGGCAGCGTGCTTCATTTCATCTGGGTCTTCTGAGACATGTGCAGAAGGGGTTGGCGGTGGCGTTCAATAGATAGCTGGTGCGGATTGGGCGTGGAAGCGGTGGCTGCATCTTGGAGTTGCATGGAGGCTTGAAGGAGTTGGTCATGCGCGATGGTAACGTAGAGCTCCTTGGCATTATCGCTGCGCCAACGGCCAAGTCGCTTGAGCAGCCGGTCGGATATCCCCAGGCTGGTTGCCGCTGTAGCAGCGCCCTTGCGAAAGGAGTGGGTGCCGAGTTGGGCGCTATCGAGGCCGGCCCTGGTGAATGCTTCAAGGCACCAGTTCCGGATGGTGGTGTACGAAGGTGCGTGGTCCTGTGAAGTTGCCGTGCTGGTGTTCCCGAAGACTCGGATCAATGGCTCGTGTGGGGTGGAGGTGTGACCCACTAGGAGAAGAAAGTGTCGTGTGCAGCGTACCGGGCAGTATGGGCCGGAAGTGGCGGCGACCGAAATCCAAGTGCCCATGCTTTCCTGATCAGTCTTGGAGTGCAGGATGAGCAGCCACATCGCCTCAGGCTCAAACTGTATGTCATGCCATTGGAGGCTGACAAGGTCGGAGTAGCGTAGGAAGGCGGCGAACATAAGGATGGGATGAGTCCTTTCTGGTACTCGGCCGGCCGGGTGGACTCCAGAAAGGGGCGGGCCATGGTGTGCACTTGGTGCAGCGACAAAGGTTCCTTGTTCCGGGTGGGGCGTGGGCCATGGCGTTTGGCAAATTCGCGCACTTGTAGTGTAAATGGTCCAGTCAAGGGAGAGGGCTTGCCAGTCATGTGATGCACGAAGGCGACAGCAGAGCATGTAAGCGATATGGCGGATGTGGTGGCCTGGTGATTTAGTGCATGAATGAGGTAGAGTGCCAAGGTCATATCCGTTGCAAGCAAGTAGCTCAACTTCACCTTCATGCAGAAGGAGCGAGATTTGAGCCAGTAGGGCTCATACGTTCGGATGGTGGAAGGGGCACGGACATGGGTGATTACGTGTAGTAGTTGTGTTGCAGCTGCGTTATAATGCCTGAAAAGGTACAGCGTAGAGTACAATTATTATTAATTTCTATACGTGACATGCACTGCAATCATCTGACTAGGAGGAAAGCCTTGTCCTGCGAAAGCGAGTGCGTGTGTGCCAGGGCGTAGGCATTGGCTGTTGTGGGTGAGGGGAATGTGTGCCGTTACTTCTGGCACCCAGGCGTCAGGTGCCTGTTGGAGGAGTGGTCACCATGATGCTCCCGGCCACTCGGGAATGACCAAGGTCACCTCAGCGTGTGTGCTTTTAGCGTGTCGTAATGTGGCTGGAATAAGGTTGGGAGGGAGAAATGCAAAGCCGCGCTCGTGCTGCCAGCTGAACGAAAAAGCGTCAAACACTGCGGCCGTAGGGTGTGGAATCTTGGAGCAAAACCTCTCCAGTTGAGCGTTGTGCACATTTGCGAAGAGATCGATAGAGTGGGGACCCACAGCTTGAGTGCAGCCACGTCGGCGATCGCCATTCCTACCGTCGGCGACCACCAGACCGCCGTTCCTACCGTCGGCGACCTAACAGTAGGAACGGGACGTCAGCACACTCTTGGACTGGTAGAGCTGGAAGCAATCAGCAGCCTCAAAGTCGGCCTCATCCGCCACGAGAAGCACCTCGAAACGCTTATTAATAAGCGGCTCGATGTGTTTCACGTTGTTGAGTGCGCCGGTGACGTTGCTGTGCTGCAGCTCGAAGTCGATGTGCTGCAGTTGCGCTTGGATAGCAGTGAAGACTTCGGCTTGGTCGCGCACGCCCTCACGCATGAAAGTAGTTGCTGCGGGCGTGGGACCAAGGGGGGGAAGAGAGGGGCGGGGGCGAGAATGCGATGGCGACCAATATTGGCAGGAGCCTCACCATCATCGTTTTCAGAGTCGTCGCCGTCGTCGGTGTCATTGGCGAGTGCGGGAGTCGGTGCCGGGGGTGGTTGTCGACGCGCGGAGCTTTCGGCACGCGAGTAGGTGGTGGCATTTCCTTATTCTTGGCGAAATTGGTCGTAGCAGTTATATTGTCCAAAGATGTTCCGAGCGTAACATTCGGCTGCTGGTGTAACAGCGCCAGAAGCGCCTGGAGCTGTTGCGCGGTCAACGCGGGGGCGGCGGCGGCTGGCACGACCTCGTCAACGGGCATGTGCTCGGTGGGGCCCGCCTGGCCTGCAGCCGTCGCGACGTTCCGGGCTCCGCGGAATTGTTGGGGTTGTTCGTCGGACGATTCGGAGTCGTGTTTGCCGACGCCATATTAGCGAGGTTGTGCTGCAAAATGTCGGTGAGGAGCGTCGTCGGAGCCTTGCCCCGGGGGAGGGACTGGGTCTTCGCCAGGTTGGATGAGAAACTGCAGAAATTGAACCAGAGAAACTAGAAATGAAGAACGTGGGTGAGGCCGAATGGCCTCACGTCCCTCTTTTGTAGGCAAAAGAGGGTGAGTAGCGCTTCGACGCTGCCTTAGCTGCATTGGCCCTCGCTACACTCTCACAATACACATTTTTAGAAAGTGTTACACACTTTCAAAAAATTACATATACGGTACTTTCAGCTAACAAATAAATGCGACGTCGTATCAGTTTATGTGGGTTGTTGTGAGGCTGTAGCATACAGGTCTCCTATCGTGCATCCTGGCACAATTCTGAAATCCTTACGATATAACGAGGATATAAAAATGTGGGCACAAGAAACTAAGCAGTTGTACAGTTCAGAGGTATTCGTCACACCACTTTATCATGCGAAGGCTGAACAATCAGCGCTATTCATTTCTTCCGTACAACTATAGCACTAGATGAGCTTTTCACTATAGTGGTGCATTTTATCACCGTTCACGTGTTGTTATTGGAGCACCTCAGCTTTTTGTGAGAAGCCCAATAACCCTTCTCACACTTGCAGATGGGTGCAAAAGCATCCGCGCTAGGTATCTTCTCTACATCCGGCATACACACACCCTTCCCACTGCACGCCCCAGCAGCCATGGCCGTCCCGCAAAACTTGTTGCACTCAGCCGTGGTCTTCTGGGCAGCGGGCCCGCCGCACTTGGTCGGGCCGGCGGAGAGGCAGTTGCCGCCCAGCGTGAAGTGGTCGGCGCAGGGGAGGGCGGTGGCCGAGCCGGAGAAATAGTTGCCGCCCATGCTGACGACCGGGACGCGCAGCAGGAAGGAGGGGACCGGACCCGAGAAAAAATTGTCAGCAAGGTCACTGGGGGTTGGGGTTGGGGTTGGGGGGTGGGGGTAAGGAGCGGGAGAGGTGAGGTGGAGGTGGGTGGTAAACGAGCCGGCAAGAGCGGATGGAATGGAGAGGAGATGAACATGAGGATTTGGTACTCGAGCTTTAAGCACAAGATGGTAGGCATGATAGGACATGGAAGGAGGTGAAAAGAGGTGAAAGGATGCAGGGGGCTATACATCAATGTGAGCTTCTTGAGGCTGCTGAGGTTGGGCAAGGGGCCATAGAACCAGGCACTGTTGATGTACCTGGGGATAGGGACGGAGGGGGCGAGCACGGGAAGGGACAGGGCAGAGGGTGGGGAGACTGACAAGGAGGTGAAAGGATGCAGGGGCCAGAGAGCCAGGCATTCCCAAAATACCTGGAGGGAATGGGAGGAACGGATGAGGCGAGCAGTGGATGGGATAGGCCAGGCAGAGGGTGGGGAGATTGTGACAAGGCATTCTCGGCACCTCCCTGCTCTCCTCTCTTCTTCCCAGCTTGTGAACTGTTTAGTTTCTAAGGTTTGAAAATTCCTGGCTCTCAAAACCACAACTCCTTCCCTTTGCTTGGGTTGGGACCCACAGCTCGTTCAGCTTCACCTGAGAGTGTTGGGCACGTCCCTACTCCCTTGTGCTCCCTCGGCGTGGGGCTCACAGCTCTTTCAGGCTGACCAGGGAAAGCTCTCAATGCAGGTGTCTCTGAGAATTCTAAAGAATGTTCAAAATGAACCTGAAGCAGGGAGGCTCTGTTAAATTATCTATATGTTATATAACATATATATAATTTAACAGGCTCAACCCTTCTGCTCCCCTCCGCGTGGGACTCACAGCTCTTTCAGGCTGACCAGAGCGTTAAGGGCCTTTGGCACCTCCCCGGACAGCCTCGTTTCGGAGAGGGACCTGCAGGGAGAGAGAGGGGAAGACGATCAGAATTTGTATACATACTTGCACATGTATATACATGTATATCTTCCTTATATTTCATGTGTGATGCTGGATGTCATTACTCTCAATGTATGCCAGCATACATTGCAGGTGATTTGACTAGGATATGTGGCCTTAAATGCATATGGTCTCCTTACAGGTATGTGAGCTTGTCAAGCGTTGCAAGGAATGTCGGTATGTTGCCTTCAAAGGCCGTTTCGCGAAGGCCCCTGGCAGAGACAAGCAGGGAGGGAGGAGGGTACAAAGTAAGACGAAGCCTTCATTTGAGGCGCCAAAAAAATACCTAGTAAGAAATGCTCAGGGAAAGGTGGGGATTGGTTAAAAAGAAAAACAGCCTTAGTGGGACTTAGAAAACACTTCAACTCTCTGCCGTTTCCACATGGGAACACTAGGTGAATGAACAACCGCAAACATAAAACGGAACTGCTGCTGAACGACATTACACAAAGAATGAAAACCGTTGCTGTTATACAGAGTTAGCTACAGATTAGGTAGTTGCATACTTAGACTGAAGGCTGCTCACAGGTATTTGAGCTTCTTAAGCTTGGAAAGGAATGTGGGAATGGGGCCCTCCCAGTTGTTCTTGCTCACCATGCTGTGAGAGAGAAAGGGGGGGAGTGAGGAATGGGAGTGAGGGATGGGGACAGCCGCTGATGCTACAGATGCACTCACAACCGTTGATGATACAGATGCACTCACAACCGTTGATGATACAGATGCACTCACAACCGTTGATGATACAGATGCACTCACAACCGTTGATGATACAGATGCACTCACAACCGTTGATGATACAGATGCACTCACAACCGTTGATGATACAAATGCACTCACAACCGTTGATGATATAGATGCACTCACAGCTTCTCGAGGTTGGTGAGCCCTCCAATAAAGTCTGGCAGGCGGCCCTTAAAGCCGTTGTTGCGCAGATAGCTGGGGGCAGGGGGGGAGGAGGGGCGTGGGAGAGAGGGGGAGGGGGGGGAGGGAGGAGGGGGAAGGGGAGGGGTCAATGTGGGATGGCGGTTTGCTGCCAGAGCAAAGAGGGATGGCGGTTTGCTGCCAGAGCAAAGAGGGATGGCGGTTTGCTGCCAGAGCAAAGAGGGATGGCGGTTTGCTGCCAGAGCAAAGAGGGATGGCGGTTTGCTGCCAGAGCAAAGAGGGATGGCGGTTTGCTGCCAGAGCAAAGAGGGATGGCGGTTTGCTGCCAGAGCAAAGAGGGATGGCGGTTTGCTGCCAGAGCAAAGAGGGATGGCGGTTTGCTGCCAGAGCAAAGAGGGATGGCGGTTTGCTGCCAGAGCAAAGAGGGATGGCGGTTTGCTGCCAGAGCAAAGAGGGATGGCGGTTTGCTGCCAGAGCAAAGAGGGATGGCGGTTTGCTGCCAGAGCAAAGAGGGATGGCGGTTTGCTGCCAGAGCAAAGAGGGATGGCGGTTTGCTGCCAGAGCAAAGAGGGATGGCGGTTTGCTGCCAGAGCAAAGAGGGATGGCGGTTTGCTGCCAGAGCAAAGAGGGATGGCGGTTTGCTGCCAGAGCAAAGAGGGATGGCGGTTTGCTGCCAGAGCAAAGAGGGATGGCGGTTTGCTGCCAGAGCAAAGAGGGATGGCGGTTTGCTGCAAAATCAAAGGGGAATAGTTGGCTGCTGTTCTTTCAGATTCTTCAGGTTGGCTAAGTTCGACAATAAGCCTCCTCTTCCTCTCCACCCCTCCCCCTTGCCATCTTGAGTCGACTCAGTATTCACCTTGCCATCTCCCCCTCCTTCTACAACTTACACTCCTCCCCCCTTCCCTTCTCCCCCCTTTCCCTCGCTCACAGTTCTTTCAGCTTCGTCAGTCTGGCAAGCGTGTAGGGCAAGGCGCCTCTCACTCCGTCCTCCCCTGTTCTGGCGATGTTGCTGCAAGGGGGAGCACAAGGGGGGGAGGGTGACGGCAGAGAAAGCAGAGGAGTCAGGAGAAGGTCGGAAGCCCGAACCCCTGAAGAGTGGGCAGGGCAAGGCAAGGGACCTCTCACTCCGTCCTCCGCTGCTCCAACAATGTTGCTAACTAAGTGGGCTCCGCAAATATCTTAGCAGAGAGAGAGGCAAGAGAAGGTTAGAAGCCCAGACCCCTAAGGGTGGACCCCTAAGGGTGGACCCCTAAGGGATGGTAATGTAAGGGATCTCGCACACTGTCCCTCCCTGTTCCAGCGATGTTGCTGGCAGGGGGGTTACAAGTTAGGAGGGAAGGGTAAGCAGAGAGACGAGAGACAAGGATGTTTATAACAAGACGGGGAAGCTTTTGGTGGGACGAGGAGGCTGCTTATAACGAGGCTTAGGGTAGAGAGACGAAAGGCAAGGGTGCTTACAGGGAGACGAGGTTGACAAGGCTGCCAATGCTGGGAGGAACAACTCCTACTAACGGGTTATCGCCAATGCTCCTGGCGCATAGGACGAAAGAGAGGAAAAAGAGGGGGGATGGGCGGGGGGTAAAGAGAGCGAGGAGGCAGCAGAAAGCAAGATTGACCAGGTTGCCGAGGCTGGAAGGGACAGCTGCTACCAGCGGGTTATCACCAAAGTTCCTGGTGTGTTGGAAGAAAACAAAAAGAGGGGAATGGGGTTCTTAAGCCTGTGCCACAAGGCAGTAAGTGAGGGGAGGTAAGCCTGTGCATTTAAGTGAACGGAGCATTTAAGCCAGTGCCACAAGGCAGTAAGTGAGGAGAGTTAAGCCTGTGGCACAAGGCAGTAAGTGAGGGGAGTTAAGCCTGTGGCACAAGGCAGTAAGTGAGGGGAGGTAAGCCTGTGGCACAAGGCAGGAAGTGAGGGGAGTTAAGCCTGTGGCACAAGGCAGGAAGTGAGGGGAGTTAAGCCTGTGGCACAAGGCAGGAAGTGAGGGGAGTTAAGCTTGTTGACTGACAAGTATGTGAGGGCAGTGAGTTGGCTTAGGAAGTCCGGGATTTCCCCCTCGATCCAACAGTGGTACACATTGCTGTGGGTGGCGGCAGAAGAAAGGGGGGGGGGGAATAAGAGAGAGCAGAGATAGGGGCACGGTTGGAGAGCGAGGAAAGATAGGCGAGGGCAAGGAGAAAGAGTGAAGTGGCTGCCTATCCGCTAGAGGAAGGGTGGGATTTGCCCCTCGGTCCAACAGTGGTACACATTGCGGAGGGGGAAAGGGGGGGGATGAAAAGGTAGGGGCAAGGCGAGAGAGAGGTTTTCAAAGGGCTGTGCACTGTACCGCAGAGCACCCTGGACAGCCCTCAGCACCGCACTGCACCGCAGAGCACTCACAGGTGCTTGAGCTTCTTGAGCTTGGTCAGTGACTGTGGCAACGCTCCCACATCCCTGTTGTAACTCAAGTCGCTGGGGGGCGAAAAGTGGGGAAGAGAGTTTAGGAGAGAGGGGTGGAGAGTGAGGGGGAAGAGTGAGGGGGGAGAGTGAGAGGGAAAGGAGGGGGAGGGAGGGAGGGGGAGTAGAGACCAGCGGGAGGAGAGACAGGAAGAGGAGAAAAGAAAGACTCAGAAGTGGCAATCGGAAGGAAATGGGGCGTCAGGAGGGAAGAGAAGCGCGAGAGCGGAATGGCCGGCTAGCGCGGGCTGAATGCGGCGAGATCCATGAGAGAGAGGGCACGCGCCAAGAGCCTCACAGGGATTCGAGCGCGCCGAGCTTGGAGATAGCGTCGATGGGCGCGGCGAAACTGGCTGCTGTCACGTTGCTGGGGCCAGGAAGGGGAGGAGGGAGGCACGGGCCAAAACCACTTCTGAGTCGACCCATGAGTGTGTCCAGCACGGAGAGGGCGCGTCAAAGGGCCTGGGTGAAACTGGCTGCTGTCACGTTTGCTGAGGGCAGGGAAGGGGGAGGTATGGGGCCATGGGGGGGATCAGGGGGATCCGAAAAGTGATGCGTGGCAAAGGGAGTTGGCTGTTGAAGTAGCATGGGAGCAGGAGTGGCAAAGGGAGTTGGCTGTTGAAGTAGCATGGGAGCAGGAGTGGCAAAGGGAGTTGGCTAGTTGAAGTAGCATGGGAGCAGGAGTGGCAAAGGGAGTTGGCTAGTTGAAGTAGCATGGGAGCAGGAGTGGCAAAGGGAGTTGGCTAGTTGAAGTAGCATGGGAGCAGGAGTGGCAAAGGGAGTTGGCTAGTTGAAGTAGCATGGGAGCAGGAGTGGCAAAGGGAGTTGGCTAGTTGAAGTAGCATGGGAGCAGGAGTGGCAAAGGGAGTTGGCTAGTTGAAGTAGCATGGGAGCAGGAGTGGCAAAGGGAGTTGGCTAGTTGAAGTAGCATGGGAGCAGGAGTGGCAAAGGGAGTTGGCTAGTTGAAGTAGCATGGGAGCAGGAGTGGCAAAGGGAGTTGGCTAGTTGAAGTAGCATGGGAGCAGGAGTGGCAAAGGGAGTTGGCTAGTTGAAGTAGCATGGGAGCAGGAGTGGCAAAGGGAGTTGGCTAGTTGAAGTAGCATGGGAGCAGGAGTGGCAAAGGGAGTTGGCTAGTTGAAGTAGCATGGGAGCAGGAGTGGCAAAGGGAGTTGGCTAGTTGAAGTAGCATGGGAGCAGGAGTGGCAAAGGGAGTTGGCTAGTTGAAGTAGCATGGGAGCAGGAGTGGCAAAGGGAGTTGGCTAGTTGAAGTAGCATGGGAGCAGGAGTGGCAAAGGGAGTTGGCTAGTTGAAGTAGCATGGGAGCAGGAGTGGCAAAGGGAGTTGGCTAGTTGAAGTAGCATGGGAGCAGGAGTGGCAAAGGGAGTTGGCTAGTTGAAGTAGCATGGGAGCAGGAGTGGCAAAGGGAGTTGGCTAGTTGAAGTAGCATGGGAGCAGGAGTGGCAAAGGGAGTTGGCTAGTTGAAGTAGCATGGGAGCAGGAGTGGCAAAGGGAGTTGGCTAGTTGAAGTAGCATGGGAGCAGGAGTGGCAAAGGGAGTTGGCTAGTTGAAGTAGCATGGGAGCAGGAGTGGCAAAGGGAGTTGGCTAGTTGAAGTAGCATGGGAGCAGGAGTGGCAAAGGGAGTTGGCTAGTTGAAGTAGCATGGGAGCAGGAGTGGCAAAGGGAGTTGGCTAGTTGAAGTAGCATGGGAGCAGGAGTGGCAAAGGGAGTTGGCTAGTTGAAGTAGCATGGGAGCAGGAGTGGCAAAGGGAGTTGGCTAGTTGAAGTAGCATGGGAGCAGGAGTGGCAAAGGGAGTTGGCTAGTTGAAGTAGCATGGGAGCAGGAGTGGCAAAGGGAGTTGGCTAGTTGAAGTAGCATGGGAGCAGGAGTGGCAAAGGGAGTTGGCTAGTTGAAGTAGCATGGGAGCAGGAGTGGCAAAGGGAGTTGGCTAGTTGAAGTAGCATGGGAGCAGGAGTGGCAAAGGGAGTTGGCTAGTTGAAGTAGCATGGGAGCAGGAGTGGCAAAGGGAGTTGGCTAGTTGAAGTAGCATGGGAGCAGGAGTGGCAAAGGGAGTTGGCTAGTTGAAGTAGCATGGGAGCAGGAGTGGCAAAGGGAGTTGGCTAGTTGAAGTAGCATGGGAGCAGGAGTGGCAAAGGGAGTTGGCTAGTTGAAGTAGCATGGGAGCAGGAGTGGCAAAGGGAGTTGGCTAGTTGAAGTAGCATGGGAGCAGGAGTGGCAAAGGGAGTTGGTTAGTTGAAGTAGCATGGGAGCAGGAGTGGCAAAGGGAGTTGGTTAGTTGAAGTAGCATGGGAGCAGGAGTGGCAAAGGGAGTTGGTTAGTTGAAGTAGCATGGGAGCAGGAGTGGCAAAGGGAGTTGGTTAGTTGAAGTAGCATGGGAGCAGGAGTGGCAAAGGGAGTTGGCTAGTTGAAGTAGCATGGGAGCAGGAGTGGCAAAGGGAGTTGGTTAGTTGAAGTAGCATGGGAGCAGGAGTGGCAAAGGGAGTTGGTTAGTTGAAGTAGCATGGGAGCAGGAGTGGCAAAGGGAGTTGGTTAGTTGAAGTAGCATGGGAGCAGGAGTGGCAAAGGGAGTTGGTTAGTTGAAGTAGCATGGGAGCAGGAGTGGCAAAGGGATTTGGTTAGTTGAAGTAGCATGGGAGCAGGAGTGGCAAAGGGAGTTGGTTAGTTGAAGTAGCATGGGAGCAGGAGTGGCAAAGGCGATGCATCCTGGCGTTTCTTTCTTCTGGTGCAAAGGGATGAAGAAGGCCAGCAGAGGTGCGGAAAACCGTTCACAGGTGCGATACAAGTGTAAGTTCGGGGTGTCTCGAATCCACACTGCTAGCAATGGGATGAACACGGCCAGCAGAGGTTAGGAATAGTTGCCACGGAAATGTCGCTCGATTTGATACTTCCTAAGTGGAGCGCTTAATAACGGGGACTTAGGATCCAACTAAGCACTTGATTCGACTCGGCGACACACTGACTTGCCAGTGATCCTGCCCACCTGGTCGCTCGTCTCCCTGAAGGATCTTGTAGCACTAAGCGGGGCTTGCTACAGGCGGCTACAGGCGACGACTGTCTGCATTCCCCGCCCCCACTCACATGGCAACGATCCTGCCCTCCTGCTCGCATGTCACTGCCAGGCATTTTATGCGCTTAATAGAGCCTGCTACAAGCGAGTACTAATTGCTCTCCCACACCACTCACATGGCGGTAATCCTGCCCTCCGCGTCGCACGTCACTCCCAGGTACTTGGCGCACTTGGCGGGGCTGCCGGCGGCCGTCCACGACTTGAACCCCGCGAAGCCGCTGCCTGACTGCACGCCGAGCTGACGGAGAATGTCCACTGACGGACGGAGGGGGACGGAGGGGGACGGAGGGGGACGGAGGGGGACGGAGGGGGACGGAGGGGGACGGAGGGGGACGGAGGGGGACGGAGGGGGACGGAGGGGGACGGAGGGGGACGGAGGGGGGCGGAGGGGGCGGAGGGGGGCGGAGGGATGATGGAAGAGATGACGGGAACGGGCGGAGGAGCAATGTTTCAAGCACGTTCCTCGTAGCAAAGGGCTCCGACCAATGGCGGAACGACACGTACTGTAACGCATCCGCTGCGCCACTGAACAACACTCGTTTTACCTAGTGGTCTAGGGGACGAGATGTTACACGTACGCTGCGACTTGAGGATGGTCGCATCGGGCGACGCGGCGAGGCGAATCGCGTCGCCGGAGGGGAGGCGCGCTGCGACGATCGCGACGACGAAGGAAAGGATCGCCACTGGCGACAGCCGAGGACGCCGCGCAATCGACGGGAGCAAAGCCATCAGGTGCGAATTTCGATGGAGTGAATTTCACTTGGGAAGCAGGTGGGAGAGCCGGAGGAAGCCGCGCGACGGACTGATCGCTCTAGAGATCCTGGTATGTGGATTTCACTTGGGCCGGATCCACGGGCCGCACGACGAGGAGGGGTATCCCGAGAATATGGAAAATAACAAAAAGGTATGGCGACAATGTGCGGTGTTCGACGCGAAGAGCGAGGAGAAAGGGAATGTCTGGCTGGACTCAGCAGCTGGTGTCACGGAGGCACATACGTTGGTCCCATGAGTCGGTGCACGTGTCGTGGAATGCGAAGGCAGAGACAGCAGTGGCTGGGCGAGAGAGAGCGAGATAGAGCGAGAGAGAGCGAGAGAGTTAACCCTGTGGGAACATCCCGAATAAGCGGCAGTGTGTGCGACGGTGGGGAGGAGACGGGACGGGGGCTGCCGCTGGCGGGTGCCGGCTGGCCGGCTGGCTGCATCGCGTCTGCGCGGCAGCTCCATCTCGAAGCGCGAGCACGAGAAGATCGGACCGCGGCCGGAGAGGATGTAACATCGACGGTGAGCGATGGCACATCGTGAATCGAGTCTGAGGTCTTTGGAAGGCTCAGCCGTCAGATCGGAAAGTCGCTGACCGTAGGTGACGGCACGCACCGCGATTGTTGCTGGTTTGACTGGCGCGAGAGCCGAGCCGAGAGGAAGTAGGCAGCGAGCGGGGGGGGAAGGACATCTGGCAGTGCTGGGTTTTTTTCTTCGTAAAGCGTACAGCACTAACGGATCACGCCCTGTTTTCATCACGTTCAGCTTAAAGCTAAAGGTCAAAATAGTGAAGGCGGGTCCAACTTGAAAATGCCCAGACATCCGTTTTTGCAACTAAGGGACAAAACTGTGACGGGGCAGATGGTACACTGTCGAGAAATGCAAGCAGGGGAAACTGGGCGAGAAGATGCAGTTACCTGATTGGTTGGCGGGGAAAACATGACGTACAGTGGGGAAAATGGCTCGGGCAATTTCGCAAGCAGCACGCCACCTGTCGCCCAGCCCCCACTGCTTGTAAGCTACACCAAGAGGGCCCAACTTGAAGTTCAAGTTGGACCCGGGTTCACTACTCCGGCAAAACCGAGGCTAGGCCCCGATTGGTCGAAATGCTAACCGCGCTAAGCTGTGGTCGTAAAATTTGTCGCCAGTGCGAAATGTCGCAAGCGCAATTCGATTTCGTGGCCTACAGCTTGGTAAAAAACGGGGGCTGCTGCCCACCCCTCCAAACACATATTCAATGTTGGGTCGTTTCTAGTTGGGCCCAACTAGAAAGGGGGGGCACTATTATAGTCTCGCTTTAAAGCATAACACAGTTACTCATCTAATCCATTTGAATGAGGGCTTCAAATTGGATCTTGAAGGGCTGATGACTCAGGGTGCCCCCCTCAGCAGCCCCCGTTTTCAGGGTCGGGTTCTGGAAGTAGCATGTTTTGTCAAGGTAAAACAATTTAAGGGCTGAATTATCAGGACTAAGTTTCTTCAAGGCTGAGATTAGAGGGCTGAACCTTGGCATTTTTTAAGGGTAGTTACGATTTTGACCTAGCACAGACATCGCCTTGACTTGCTTCTTTCAATGTTCTCAAGTGGTAGACATGGCATGGCAGAACCACGCAACACGGCGTGGCAGCTTTTTTTTTTTTTTTTTTTTTTTTTTTTTTGGAAACCTTGCACTATATGAATACAGTACAGAGATAACCTTCAGTCGTAACTGCTTCTCCTTCCCCCCTGCCGACTTTCCACCTTTCCCCCTGTTTACGTAAACACCAGCATGACGGTTAAATGCTACACTAACATGCCATAGCGACCTCTTCACTGCAGCTTCTCCCCTCTAAAAATCGCATCACACCTATCTAATCAAATCCTATGAAGTGTAACCGCTGTAATCGTTGTCTCAGGAAAACCGGACCGAGTTGCGGTGCACAAAAAAATCAAACCCTCAATCGATGTCACCTGTCTCCTGGGATTGAGAATGACAAGCGACGATTTCAGCGCCCCCACCAACGGCTGAATCACAGTACACTCGTACAAGCAGTGAGAGAGGGTTTCCTCATCTCCACAATGCGGACAGCTCCCCTGATCCCCCAGGAACTTCAACCTCTCCCCCACCTGTAGGTTACGGTTGTGAATCCTTAGCAGCATATCCCTCGGCTTAGATGACACCACTAACGAGTCGCGGACCCTAATCACATTTTTCCCGTCAACTTTGGCCCCAAACTTCTCCTCCCACGCCTCCTGCTACTTCGTACACGCGGAGGGTTGGACCCGTTGCATCCTCAACTTTTTCAGCGGCGCCACAGCATCTCCATCTCTAAGTGCAGTGTCCAGAAGCCTCGCCTCTGATGAGCCCATTCCCCCCAGTATCTTCTGACCAGACACTTTTAACAACACCACTCTGCCCGGCTATAGTTGCGACTCCCATGATTCCTCCTTTCGCACCAGCCGATTCCGCACATCAGCCACAATTCTCTTTCCCCATAGACTTCCATCCTGCTCCTGTCGGACTTCCCACAACCAGGATACCCTTTTCGGATAGCCATCGGTACTCACTATACCCGTTGCCCCCACCATCTCCCCTATCTTCAGTTTCCTTATGATGCTCAACTTCCACTGCGATGGGGCCTTATCAAAAGCCTTCAACGCCATTGTCGCCGTCGTCTTATCTCCCAATAACCTTTCCAGCTCCTTTTGCGTTTTCCGCTCCCTCGAACCGTTCACTTTCGCTTTGATCATGTCTCCCAACTTGAGACCTCGGCGTGGCAGCATGCTTGACAGCGCGATCGAGAGACAGATGCATCGTTGGCAGAGTGTGCTGCTGGTGCTCGGCAGTACGAAAACTCAATCCCCAATTGGCTGGTAAACCCCTGGACTTCGTCAAGGACCAATCCCGCTCCTAACAATTCTTTCAGCGCGCTCACAAAAGCTGCTTATACTGTAATTGTGACCAAGGACCAATCACCAGCCTCCTCGAACATGCTCTGAGAAGAGGGGTGTGATTTTGTTCAAGGACCAATCACACCCCTCACACGTGCTCCATAACGCACCCCATTCCCGTGCTGATTGTCAGGGGGGGTGGGGGGGGGGGGGGGTGGTTCCGAGAAGACTCTGTTTTGGGCAAGAATTCCGTGAAGGCTGATAAATCAGGGTGACCAAAACAAGAACATACTGTACAATATTTCAGGTCTACTCAAATGAGAACCCCTAAAATTCAGGCCTAGGGAAAATCAGAAGCTGAAAAAATAGCACAACCCTTAATAAACACCATGTTGTACAGCATTTCAAGGCATTCTGTCTTGACTTCTGAAGCCCTGGTTTGGATGCTTCCTATTTGCAATTCTTCACTTAATATATAGCTTTCTTCGTTCAGTACTTCCATTCAGCAAAGCAAAGCATGGTATATTTCACTTGGAGTAGCATGCATGAAGAAATGTTGGATGTGACTAAGTGACATTTTACACCCATCGTCACTCTTACATTATTACATTCCTGAATCCCTAAAAAAAAAAGGTATGTTATGAATTAATCAAAGTAATAACAAGTAGTGTAATAAAGGAACCGTGATTCAAGAGTGTCGATACAAATGAGGGCCTAGACATTTATAGGCATGGACAGGGCTAGCCGAGAACCACACGAACAGGTTGGGCCGGTTCGATTAGCGAAGGCTACAGAAGCGCCACGCGTTGAGGTTTGGGTTAGCAAAGTAGTTCGGGACCGAAGAAGTTGGCCGAGCCTAGACTTCCGATGCCCCAACTCTTCCTCTGACCAGCACTGGGTGATCAGCCGGTTCATCCCCCTTATTCAGCCAGGAATGGTCGATAGCCCAAATCGGCATTACAACTTGGTGGGGGTGGTGGTATTTGGGCGGCGCAGTCAAGTCAGTAGGCGGCCCATCAGCTACTGACTGTTTCCGTTTCCCGAGTGCTTTTCATCGCTAGCTATGTTCTTCTTCAGCTCCGGCAGTCCTTCACCATGTGGACTGGCTGGTTGTAGTTGAAATAACGTCCGGTAAAAACCCAGACAGCAAATACTGTGCATCCACGCCGTTGATTGATGGGTGTTGGTGCTGGCCTCGAAAACGGTTTCCCTCCCGGAAACCCGCCCTCGAAAGTCCATGTCGCGTGTCTTGCACATCATGTGAACGATTTCGTTGAAGGTCGTCGGGGCTCGCATGACGATCTCTTGCTGAATCGCAAGACCACCCACGTAGCGATCGATTTTTCCGTTTTCACTAATGCCGCCGATTTGATCGCAGAGCGATAGAAACGATAACGTGTACTCCTGGACAGCTCCCAACTAATGTCACATCCGAAGCCTTGTGCGAGCATTTTCGTACATGGATATGTGCTCGAAACTGCTCTTCAATTCTTCGCCCCACGCTTTCCACGTGTGAATCGTGGTTGATCCAAAGGTTGGTTCTGCCTTTGCCGTTGATGAACCTTGCTCCCTATCTACCGCCCGTTGATTCCCTGCCGGGGCCCCTCCCTCGTCCTGCATCACCAATCAGGTGCCGGACCCCTCAGCAGTGATATAGCCAAGTTGACACGTAGAGCATTGTCATTAATACTTGCTGTTGTGAAGAATATTTCCATGGCGAACAGCCACCCGCTCACTGTAATCGTATTGTCGGTCTGGTTGAACGGCGACGACATATGTGGTTTGATAATAATGACTGCGCGCGGCTCGCAGTGGTTTTCTTCAACTGCTTCAGGTGTCGCCGATGCCCTCGCTTCGCTCGCAACATCTTCGTCAAGGGCAACTGGCCCCCTAGCGCGTTTCACCCCGCGCCTGGCAAAATGATGAGTTCTCGTCTCGCAGCGTCTTCACTTCGCTTCCCAACGTTTCGAACTTCACAGCGAGTTGTTGAAGCTGGGCCTGCTTGCAACTCATAAAACTCCTCCTGAGACACGTTCCTAACACTACGTCGGGTAGAGGTTTCCGGTGTGTTAGGCATGCTGGAAAGTTTACTTGACAAATCTGAGGGTGCACATGCTTTTAGTTGGAGGAGCTTTAAAGCCCTTGGCTAAAATTACACAGCTGGGGCTCACTTGAAACTTGTATTTTTTCTTTCAGGCAGAAAAACATTCCTTCTATTTGTTGGGGAAACATTGAGAACACACGCAAGACCAAAAGCGAGGGTGAACGAGGGCAGGCATTGGCGCGCGGCGCTTGCATCGTGCAGACGACGCCCAAAATTGAGCGCGCGAAAACCACTCACGTTGCAGATCCAAGTCTAACGACCACACTAGGTGGCCAGCCCCCTCCTGGCATTTTCAAGTGGACCCCCACTTTGCATTTGGTGCGGTGTGCTCACCAGGCCTTTGCTGGGACGCTAGCGCATTAGGAGGCAGACAAGGTCCTTAGTAGCCTTTAGTCAAGCGTCTCGTCGGCCAATTCGGCACGGGACCTGGGTTAGACGCTCAGAACTACGTACGGGACGAAAAAGCCTGCTAGAGATAGGCCGCCACGTCCCGTTCCACAGCTTTCTTCAAATATACGTCCGCTAATATTCCCTCCGGCTCTCCCGTCGCGCAATCGGCCATCCCCCCTTTCCCGTCGCGCAAACCGACCCTCCCCACTCTCCCGTCGCGCAAATCGTCTCTCTCCCTTCTCCCGTCGTTACGCTCCCCCCCCC